AGTACCTAATTTTTTAAATTAAATGAAATGGATTTTTCTTTCAGATTTAACAATGTGCACTTCGTGACCATGGCTTCCAGCTGTTATAAAACAAAATATCAGTAAATAGTAGGTGGTAAAATAAAATTTAGATATTTTTAATAGGTATAAGTTCTGTTATTTTCGAAATCGTCATTGTTTAAGTCTCAGAATATTGTTACTTATTTAAAATATAATAATAAAATATTGTTCACATATTGTCTGGTATTATTAGAGACCCAACTTATTCAAATGACAAACAATCTTGAATAAAAGTTCGACTGGATTAGTATACTTAGGGTTTTCTTTTATACATTGACACCCCCTTTATCTTTTTTATTTGACGTTTCCGAAAACTGTCTCAAATGAAAGTGGTTTTGAATAAATTTGCCAAAAAAGTCTATTTCGCATATCCAAAGTGCTCCAAAAAATCTGGGCGTGGTTCAACTATCTTATTTCAAATTAGGTATAGGATATGCTACATAAAAGTAGTTAGAATTTTTAGGAGAAAATAAAAAAAATAAATAAAAAATTGGGTACTAATTTGAAATAAGAAAGTTGGGCCACGCACAGGATTTCTATGGCACCCGGTATATGCGAAGAAGACTGTTTTGAAAAACGTATTCCAGACCATTAAACTTTTATTCAAGACACTTTTTTCGAAAACGTCGAATAAAAAAGATACAGAGGATGTCAATATATATACCTAACCTAACAAACCCTGTATATGCCGGAGGAGTAATAATTGCTCAATATTTGTCTGTTTCATCTTGGCTCTGCCATAAATCGTAAAATTTAGTGAAATGTAAAATATTCTTAGCGCATTTTGGTAGCTGTATTAGTCAAAAGATGATTTTTCCATTTTATAAATCCCCCCCACCACCCCCAGCCAATCTCAAGTCAGCCAAAACTAACTGGGTTCACGGGCTACTGGCATAGAATGTTTTTACCAAATTTGAATGAAATTGTACAATAAAAGAATTTTTGCAACATACTTCTGGATTTTTGCCCACTGTGCGACGCCGAGGTTCTAACGAGAACGGGAGCTTATATCGAAATGAAATTTTGGGAGCAGATGTAGGTGAATTGAAAGCATTTTATAAAAATATATAGAGTTCTACAGAGTGTCCCCCAAAAAAAGCTACGCATCAAAGTTGGGTTTTTTGTAATGGAACACCCTATATATTAATTGATTTTTAGATTTTATGAAAAAATAAGAATGAGTTTCATCAAAGAAGCATAATATGAATAAATTGTAATGACTTGTAATGACAAAAATTAGCTAGATGTAATCAAATGCTCAAAATGCTTCCTTTTTTGTTAACTACATAAAATTATTGTCTTTTCAAAAGGACCTTTTCATTTTAAAAAGCATACGTGGAGTTCTACCTCGAGAAGCAGCTACAACGATTTCTCTCACGTTGTCGACAATAGTTGGTCGAGTTTTATAAACACTGTCTTTAACATATCCCGATAAAAAAAACAGACTAGATAAAATCACTGCACACTGCATTCACCACCTAATAAAATCATATCAATTCTTTCTGATGTAGGATAAGTTTGCATTTTCGGCAAATTTCTGAGATTTTTTTTTTGTTTTAACTGACACAAAATGATAACTAGTTGTTAAAGTTAAACTAATTAGACAGCTATGTTGAAGTAACGTCACACATATCACAGCCACCTAGATTTTATCAAATAATAAAAATCTACTCAGATCAAATCATATAATTGAAAATATCTAGGAAAATCTTTGTTTGAGGGGTAGGCAACCTTAACAGTTTTTTAAAATGACATGAATTCTCCATTGAATATCGAAATATTATAGGGAATTCCATTTAAAATAAAAAATTAACATGCTTTTAAAAGTGGCCAATGTTCAATATTAATTTTGTCTCACCCTGTATAACTTTTTGGATCAAGTTTTAAGGTAGCTTTTATTGTAATTTAAAAAATTTTCTTTATTTTTAGAAAATGTTAAATATGTCAAAAACCTTACATTTTAATCATATCCTTCTCTTATAAAACTCACCTTTATTTTCGAAAATCAATTAATTATATATGGTGTGTTCCATTACAAAAAAAACACAACTTTGATATGTAACTTTTTTGGGGACACTCTGTAGAACTCTCTGTATTTTTAAAATGTGCTCTGAATTAACCTACATATGCTCACAAAATTTCATTTCAATACAAACTGTCGTTCTCCTTGGAGCCTCCGAGGCGTATGAGAGGCGCCACCCTGTATATACTTAATATTAAAGGTATCATAATCACATAAAAATACAAATAAATGATAATATTTTTTGGCATTTTCAGTCTAAAAATGATTTGAACACGTTAAAAAAACCGTCGCATTTTAACTCAGTCTTTTGCAAACTTAAAAAAACAAATTGTAGGATTAGTTCAAACGAAACCAAGCCATTTTTAGCAAGCCATTTCCGCAACGTAGCCACTGACAAAACGCCTACGGGCATTTCGATGCGGCCACCTTCGGCCAACGCGCCTCGGTCAAGCGGCCGACCGCAGAATGTTCGGTCCAGTCCAGTTCAGTTCGTTACACTTTTCTAAATGGCGCATTAATTAAACCTTTCCGAAAATAAATAGCGTTACAGATTTATACAGTTAAACAGATTTCCAATTTTAGATTGCTATATACACAATACACTTTATATACAGGGTGTTCTACTTAAAATGGTTACAAGCCAATATCTTGGTTGTTTGTTGAGCGATCTTTTTCATTTTTGTCAGGAGGCTGTATGGCTATAAGACGTACATTTTGCCCAGGGTAAGAAATGCGATACCTCATAGATGTACGTTTTAATGGGGTTTGATATTTTTCGAGTCAAGAGTAAACTACCCTTAAGGCAGTATTTATTTCAAATCTGATAAACAATTTTTTAAAGTAAACAAAATAAATTGAAAATATTTAGTTTTTTGTATCGTATCTTAATTATTATGGAAGCTATCTGAAAACTTAATTGATTATTAATTGATAATTGGTTATTGATAATAAACCAGCTGTTTATCCAGTGGCGTCGTAAGTACTTAAAAAAATAACAATAAACATATAAATGTCTTATTTTAATAACACACCCTGTATCAATATTTATAAAAATTAGAACTTAAGTATCTTAGGTAAGGAGGACTCAATATCATTTATCAGATTTGAAATAAATACTGCCCTAAGGGTAGTTTACTCTTTACTCGAAAAATATCAAAGCCCATTAAAACGTACGTCTATGAGGTATCGCATTTCTTACCCTGGGCAAAATGTATGTCTTATAGCCATACAGCCTCCTGCCAAAAATGAAAAAGATCGCTCAACAAACAACCAAGATATTGGCTTGTATCCATCTTAAGTGGGACACCCTGTACACACAATTAAAAGAAGGATTTCTCTAATTTTTGAAATCTATTGGCATTGTATTAAATTATTTTAATGGCTTATATTCTTCGGTTCGGTGGGTTTATACCGGGGTAAATCAAAACGTTTTTTGCAATAAATTCAAAACGCGCTGTGGAAAAAATGAGACTGGCATTTTGGATAAGAAACACTTTCCTGTAATCTTAGATGTATTCATAACATTGATTTTTTGAATGATCCCATTATCTCTATTCTTTTATAACCTACACACTTTTAAGTAAAGTATTGATTTCAGAAATTATTTTATTAACTAAAACAATAATTTTAATAGCCTGTATGTTCACCTCTCGCAGCAAAACAGCTTGAGGTCTTCGTTGAATCCAATGAATAAGGGTAGTTATAGTATAACAATCTGTCTTTCTTGATCTAGTATCTTCGAGTAAACACTCTTGTAAAGATTGTGGTTGAACTCGAAGGAGGACTTGGAGAACACTAGATAAAAAAGTTATTAAGTTTATCGCACAAATGTTCGATTGAATTGTGGTCGGGACTACCAGAAGTCCAACCTCAATCCAGGTACTCGTTAACTACTCGTACTCCTAACTTGTTACCCCACCCAATGTAAGGTCTGACATTGTCATGCATCAGTATAAACTGATTTCCAATGAAAGGAGCAAATGGAACGAGAACTTCTTGGAGGACATCCTCAATATAACGGTGGGCATTGAGAGCTCCAGTTTTAACAAGTTCAAGATTGTAAAAATATTGGTACTTTATTTAAAAATGTATAGCTCGTAAAAGAACAGAGATAATAGGATAATTCAAAAGACGAAATGTTAGAAATACATACAAAAATAATAAAAAATAATGCCAATATACAAAACAATTTACAATATTCAAAAAATACAACTTTGATATTTCTAATTTATTTGGGATTTTTATGGATTGTAAAAATATTTTTAAATTGTAGCTTTAAAAAACCAAAACAAAGACCATTATATACAACAAAATTATGTACGCAATCCAAATTCAACTTTTTTATTTCAGAAATGTTATTAAAGAAATGAAAGAGACTGTCATATCCAACAAAATTATGTACAGAAATCTAAATTCAACTTTTTTATTGCAGCAATTGTATTAAAGGAATGAAAAAGACCGTCATATCCAACAAAATTATGTACAGAAATCCAGATTCAATTTTTTTGTTGCAGAAATATTATTAAAGAAATGAAAATACCATCATATACAACAAAATTATGTACTTGCAGAAATTTTATTAAAGAAATGAAAAATACCATTATATACACAAAATTATGTACACAAATCCAAATTCAACTTTTTTATTGCAGCAATTGTATTAAAGGAATGAAAAAGACCGTCATATCCGACAAAATTATGTACAGAAATCTAAATTCAACTTTTTTATTGCAGCAATTGTATTAAAGGAATGAAAAAGACCGCCATATCCAACAAAATTATGTACAGAAATCCAGATTCAATTTTTTTGTTGCAGAAATTTTATTAAAGAAATGAAAATACCATCATATACAACAAAATTATGTACTTGCAGAAATTTTATTAAAGAAATGAAAAATACCATCATATACACAAAATTATGTACACAAATCCAAATTCAACGAATTGAATAAAGCATACCTTTAGCCATTTAAACACAATACAACTTTATACTTTGAAATTTTACATGCAAATAACGAAAATTTACCAGCTTTAAGTAAAACGGTATGTCATTACAATAAACATCAAATAGAAGGTTCTACGTAGTTAAAGGTCTACTATGGCACACATTTCCATTCGCTTATTTGCCTTTTGCCCTTTGAATTCTTGCATATACACACGCGTATCAATTCCATCAGGGAGAACTGAATATTTGCATATTTCGAAGTGCAGCTCTATGCGGCGCGTTTCTAGGTTTAAAGTCGTGTCTGCATCGAAGATATTTGTCCATAAACCATTGAGACGAGAGGCCGTATCCATCTCCGATGATTTTAATCTCTTTCAAACAAGTGCAGTTGTATGGATTATAGGCAAAATTTTGTAAAGTGTTATTTTTAATAACTGCAGCGATATCGCCATGAATGCACGTTACATTGTTAAATGCTATTTTTAGGTCGTTAATATTCATGGACCAATTGGCGTGCCACGAATCCAGCAAATTATGGTCCATATATAACTTTTCTATTGTCGTTTTTCCCATATCTGTAAAAAAATATTATTGGAATTAATTCTGGTTATTAATTCTCAATTGCTATTAAATCGTTACTTTACAATAATTTTCAGTGATATTTCATTCATAGAGCACAAAATAATAGTGTATTGTTTTATTAAACGTAAAAATGATACTTCTAATAAAACAAAATACTAATTTTGATATTGTAGCGAGGCTGTACTGTAAAAATATTTAAAAGAAATATCTTGTAAGTAATGAAAATAATAAAATAAAAAAAAATATTTTGACAAAAACGTAAATATTTCAAAACGGTAAGATTAACATGCGGTAAACCTTAATCAAATTTAACTTTATTTTAATCCTAGAAACTAAAAATGTAATAATATACAGGGCGTTCTATGTATAAAAATAACACTTTGATATTTTTTATTTATTTGGGACACTCTGTATCTTGTTAAAATATTTTTAAATTTTAGCTCTAATAGCCCTTCAACGAACCCAAAAGTTACAATTTGTAAACAGCTAATCGGTTAGCTACAATACCCCGTGTCGTACGTGGTGAATAACTCTGTATAAAAAGATTTAAAAGTAATATCTTGTAAGTAGTTATATTATATCGAGAAAATATGGTTACGCTCGTTGAATTTGACATTTTATGTCAATTTAATAATATATTTTCGTACTTTTACGCTTAGGCGTAAAAGTGCTTTACTTTTATACCTAAGCATAAAAACACTCCTCGATAAATAAAGAAACCAAGAAACAACCTGATCATCTCCATCAAAGGGCAAGAAAGGGAGCGAGAACCTCTCACCTCTTCTCCGGCAGGAAGAAAAAATAGCCAGAATCGAGGCCAGGATGGAAAGCAGTCCAACACTATTGCTGGACAAATGAAAATGGCGGTGCTGCCTTTCCCAGAGGTTGCTCTGACCACCGACCAGCAAACGTCTCTAGAAGAGACTATACTGGACAAAGTAGTGGATAGCAATTGTATTAAAGAAATGAAAAAGACCGTCATATCCAACAAAATTATGTACAGAAATCCAGATTCAATTTTTTTGTTGCAGAAATTTTATTAAAGAAATGAAAATACCATCATATACAACAAAATTATGTACTTGCAGAAATTTTATTAAAGAAATGAAAAAGACCATCATATACAACAAAATTATGTACTCAAATCCAAATTCAACTTTTTTATTGTAGTTAAATCTTACCTCAACTCTACTCGGATCAGAGAAGAGTTGCTCCGATTTGATTATATATTTTTTCTGTTCAAAAATTTAATTTTTGTTTTTTGGCTTTTTTTATTTAAAACTTATTAAAAAATATATTGAGTGATACAAAAATAGTTGACTAATATACGTTTTCTTTATTTCAGGTAAATAACTTCAAAATCAGCGTTAAAATTAGATCACTAATTAGAGGTAAGTAACCACATAAAAATAGTATTTTTTATTCAAAATTAATAATAGTTATACTCTTGAATATGAGTTTATTAGATGTTAAAAAAAAGTTGTGTTCGTATCAAAATTATATTCTAAAATACTTTTATAGCGTTGTGAAAATTTACTTTATATACCGTACGATCGAGAAAAAACGGCGTCCAGTTGGCTGGGAAATGACGATCGATGATTATTTCATAGCTATTGCTGACGCCGTTTTTATTCGATCAAACGGTATTATATTATGCGGTAAATTTTAATTGTGAGCCATATAACACTTAAGTAATAAAAACTTATAAAAACTGCAATATAAAAATCACTCTGTAGTATTTACTTACCATTGAAAGCCAAAGGGTGAACGAAGTTTATCCTGTTAAAGCTGAAAAATATATTTATTTCCGATTCGAGGTCAATTAGGTTTCGAAAGGCACTTTCAGGTAGCGCCCTTACAAAGTTATTTTCAAGATGCAACTGGGAGAGATTGGGTGCGTCGAGAAACCATTTCGGGTCGTAGGTGGAAATGAGATTGTTGCTCAAATCGATTTGCCTCAAGTTTTTCATGTGATTTAGAGCGTCTGCTTCGACGATTTTTATTTTGTTGTGGCTTAGGTCTAATTCGGCTAGTAGAAGGTAGTTGAAAACGCCTAAAACACAAATTAGAAAAATGCTCTTAATGATAGTTGCATGTTTTTTTGCTTCATAATATCGCTGAAAGTTTAAATGATAAAATGTAGTTATTTTTTATACAAAACAATAATGTAATTTTATCGTCGTGTATAAAACAATATTTTTTCCCATATAGCGAGTTACGTTTTAAAAAATATTCAGAAATTATTATTTCAAGGAATGTATTATTAGAGTAGAAAAAATATTGTGCTGGATTGGCGTTGGTTTCTGTGTAATTTGACAAGTAAATAAAGCTGTCTCTTTAGTTGTCAGTTTTGAGTCAATATATTTTTCGTGTCGATTACTGATTGAATTGGAGCCAGAAGCTCAAAACGAAATAAGTAAATTACCAACAGATATTCAGGCTGAGGTGACAAACGCCATATCCAAACTACTTCCATTTAGACTCCGAATAACTTATGTAAAGAAATACAAAATTTTCAAAAATGAAAGCAAATAAAAACGTTAATCGCGGTTAAAGTACTATTTTATCTACTATTTTTGATAGATACAAGGCAATTTTAACAGTTGCTATGGATAAAATGTTAAAATTAACATTCAAAATAACAAATTGTACTGAAGCTGTGGTTGGTTCCTTGTGAAACATCGTTGACATATTAGTATTTTAATAAAGCACGCTTTTAGATGTTTCAAAAAAACTTTTAATAAGAGTAACTTTAACTCTACATATAAGTTTCGGCTTGTTAGGCCTTTTTCAAGAGTTTTTTAAGAACTAATCGAGTCTAATAGATTACAATTTGATATTTACAGAAAACCCACTACCACAGACACTGTAATACATAGTCAATCACACCAATCCTGACAAATCAAAATGTCACCCTTTCATAGTTTAATTCATAGATTAGTAATGTTTCCACTGAGCCCAGAGAATTTTAAAAAAGAGTTAAATATTATTAAACAAATCGCCATCAACAATGGATATAAGTGTTCCCTTATTGATAATATGCTAAAGAAAAAACAAAAGAAAATATTAATGAAAAATTTTTATTCCGCTAATTCTAAAGACAATAACAATTATCGACTTTTAAACTACATTCCTAATTTAACTAACAAAATATCAAATAATCTGAATAAAATAGGATGTAAAACTATTAATGTAAATAAAAGAAATTTAGGTCAAATTTTATTAAATAATAAAGACAAAACTAATGTCAAAAATAAGTCGGGTGTATATAGGGTGGATTGCAATGATTGTGATGCCGTGTACATAGGCCAAACTGGTAGAAATTTAGATATAAGGATTAAAGAACATATAAAGTCTATTAATAATCTCCAGCATAGTTCTGGTCTTGCACTCATTGTATAGTAAATAATCACAAAATTAATGAAAACTCAATTAAGTTACTACACAGAGAAACAAAAGGTAGACGCTTAAATTACATTGAACAGTTAGAAATACTAAAATCTGTTAAAAACGAAAATAATGTTAACGACCAACAAGGATTTCTAAACACATTTTTTATTACCCCTATTGTAAACTCTCTGAACCCACCCCCATAGCAAATATATATATATATATATATAGTTACAGTGTAGTTAGACGATTAGTTCTTAAAAAACTCTTGAAAAAGGCCTAACAAGCCAAAACATATATGTAGAGTTAAAGTTACTCTTATTAAAAGTTTTTTTGAAACATCTAAAAGCGTGCTTTATTAAAATACTAATATTCAAAATAACGATATTCTAACATTAACGTTATTATATTATATTAATACTATGATATTATAGTTTTAAAGAGCAAATATATGTTTTCTACTCATATTTCTGAATCCTGTGCTGAGTCTTTTTTAAACCTGTTAAGTAAGCAAAAGCTACAGAGGCCAAGAAAAAGTAGCATTTATTTAATTTTTTAAAAGTTTTATTCATGGGAACAACTAGCAATTGCTTTTACTTGCTACTTAAGAACCGTTATTCTTATTTGAATGAGATTTTAAATGTCTATGTTTTGCTAAGTATTGTAACATTTGGCTTTCACAAAAATCAAGAAAAAGTACAGGAAGGGTAAAAACTATCCCCACCCCAACATCAATTTTAGTGTAAATATAATTCTAACTACACCGACGAAAGATTTTCTTTTCGTAAAATGGTCCCTCTAGTATTTACTACATTTAATTTCTCTGTAAAAAACGCTACACCGCATAGTTTTTGTGAAAATCTTTTTGGAGGATTTATTATTCCAAGGCAGGCTTACAAAGTATACAGGGAGTTGGAATATTTCGTGCACATAGAACAACTACGTATTTTTGGATCAAAATAAGTTAATTGCATATAATTTACCTATACAAAAGTTCTTCGTTTATCCGATAGAGGGCATCAGTCAAAAATAAACCCGAACGTTAATTAATTTAAAAATTATTCATTTTTTTGAGTTTTTTATGAAGCTTATTGTCGAATATAATTTGTGATACTAACATAAAATTTCATATTTTCGTTAGCTAGATTATTAGAGCATAATGGATTTTATGTGCCTCCATAGCTTGATGTGAGAAAAAACATTTTTTGGAAGTCAGCTTTAGAAAATATTTTTTTTCCTCAAAAAGTAAGCATGGTGGCGTTTTTTTACAAGATACAAAAAATTTAGGAAATTCTAGAGGGACCATTTTACGGAAAGAAAATTAGCCATCGGAGGATCTGAAAAATATTTATACTAAAATTTTTGTACGAGTGGAGAATTTTTTCACCCTTCCCATACTTTTTCTTGATTTTTGTAAAAATCAAATGTTAGAACACATGACAAAATATTGTAGCGTTTTTTAAACCACTACCACTGCGAACGGCAGCTTTTCATCGGAGAGCAGTCGTGGATAAGGTATTTCACTGGAAAGAAAACTAATTAAGAACAATAAACAAAAAAATAGATATTGGGCGCCAGGCATGTACAGAGAAAGAAAACAGAGTTGTGTAATACTTAAAACTAATGACTATATTTATTAATGACGTTCTTTGCTGATACATGACATTGTAGAGTTCTAGTAAATATATAGTGGTTATATGTCAAAGAAAGTGGTGGTAGGAGTCGCACTAAATATCAATGAAAACAACTACGATAAAATACAGGACATGTAAAGTTTAAGAGAAAATATGAAATGTAGCATTACTTTAATTAATTTGATATATTCCATATGATGCTAAATCGAAGATGTTACACCTGTAGATTCTAGAATCTATGTTTGATTATCCATCTATTAAAATAGTGCAATCTGATTCCAGTGATTACAATAAAATAATCCAAAAGATAAAACACCTCCACTGGAAAGGTCGGGTATTTATGAAATTTCTTGTAAAGATTGTAATCAGAAATATGTTGGGCAAACTAGGAGATCAATATTAACTAGATTTAAAGAACATTTAGCTCAGATAAGATATGGTAGACCGGATAAATCTTGCGTTGCCGAACATATTGTTGATAATGAACATTGTATAGATCTTAATAATTTAAAATTAATTAAACAAGTCTCAAATTACAGGCAATTAGATGCATATGAAAGCATCATAATTAATAAATGTAAAGATAGTATGAACAGAGTCAACGGTCCAATTCCTTCAAGTTCTTTGTTCCTACTACTCTAGTGGCGGAAATCTAACTGTTACGCTCAGTAGGCTCTGACTTGGTTGGCTAGATTTTGCCACGCCCACTCGGTGCCCACTGAGCGAGTATATAAACGCTCAACTTGTAGATTGTACTTTAGTTTTAATCATCTGCTGATGATGCTAACATGGTTAGCGAAACGCGCGTCCAGTGTAAAAGTAAAAGTGTTTTGGTGTATTGTGGTCGAACACAATTAAGTAAGTTAATTAGTATTTGGGCGGAAATACTGGTGGTATATTTAGTTAATGGTATACTCTTTTATTAAGATTTAAATAGTTTTCTTTTTGCATACAAATGGGCTATTAATATTATCGTTTTACTAAAAACGATAATACTACTAGCCTGTACATTTTGTACATTTGTTGTTTTAAAAACAACCTAAAATGTCAATATTCCATGGGTATATTGATAAATGAGGTGTAAATTATAAGAAAATGCATTTTCTTTTGAAGGAATAGTTAAGAAGTGATATAATACAATTTGGTAGACAATTAAATTGTGTTTATTTTATACGTTTGGCAACGTGTTTACTGTTCTATCTTTGTTCGGTACATTATAAACGCATTGTACTCTTTTTACATCCGGAAATCTCGACCCAAGACTAACCTTTGCCAGCCCTTAGTATTTGCATTTATAGATGTGTAAAAATGTTGTTGTTGTATTTTGTAATTATTTGTTGTTTTCATTTGTTCCATATGTCTGTCCGTATTAATTTATCTAGCAAAAATATCAGGTGCAACCGGAATATTTTCGTATTTTCTGTTTTGATTCGACGTCCGTATACGCCGTCAATTTTCGAACACGCAGCTTTTCAAAACGAAAACGAAACAACGAACCGAAGTCCAATTACGGACGAAGCCGGTACATGTTTCGCATTGTTACGCCAAACAATTCCCGGATAAGTATTCCCGTTTTTATTTCTCGAATTTTCGACGATCCGATCGTAATTATCATTGTTTAATTCTGCGTGAACAGAATCGCCTCGTATCTTCGTCGTAGACGGCAAACCTTCTCGTTATTGTCAATTGCGATTTGATTTCGAGATATGGAGTATCTGGAAGGTTTGTTAAGATACTGATATTTTTATAAGAAATTTTCAAGAAATATCTTTATTATTCCTTGAACAGATTTAAAGAGTAATAAGTATATTCCGGAAAAATATTTTTTTTTGCTGCGAACTACGGAGTTATGTTCTCGATTATTGTTTGTTTTATAATTATTTTGTGATATCGAATTAGTCTTTCAACGGTCTAAAAATGTATGGTTTCGCTTTGTCTGATTTAATTTAAATATTATTTATACTAAGGGCTGGCAAAGGTTGGTCTTGAGTCGAGATTTCCGTATGTAAAAAGAGTACAATGCGTTTTT